GAAACAAGGATGCCAAATTTCACTTACCATGAGAGTCGGATCCCAACTTCTTAGAAGCCATTTAGAATCTGAAAAAAAATTTAGAACTGTTTTAATAACTTTATACACGTAGCACAGCATAAGTCTATGCAGTTCTACAAGAGGCTGATCTCTAGATTATGGGACCCGTTGCAGACCCTTGCTGTTTATCCTGTTCCCGACACAGATAAGCAAACAATTATAGCCTTGAGAATTGACTGAGCAGACAAATAACAGGGTCTGACAATCTAAACAGCAAATGAAGAAGTTAAAAAAAAAACAAACAAACAAACAAACAAAAAAAAAACGGCCAAGAAGCAGCCAGGTTGATCAAGAAGGCAGAGAGTTCCAGATCACAGCTCTCAGAGGCCACTCTGTCCCAGCCCCATGGAGCACACCCTCTCTTGGCATTAAGAATAGCCCTTCCTACTGGAAATACCACACTGATCCTCTTTGGTTTAATCCCTGCTGCTCTAAAAAGGATACTATCATACTGGGTAGGCAGTCAGTTAGCCAGCATGGCACTTGTCTAGACACACTGGGTTATGCACAGGTAACATACAGTACAGGTATACAATAAATAGTACCATTAAGGAGATATTTTTGGATGCACACAAGAAAACAATGCTAGTAAGAGTTCTCATTCACTGCCTGCAGAATTTTACTAACAACTTTTAAAATTTGGATGCAAATCCTACACGGCCAAGATGTTAAACACAGAACTGCCTAGCCAGCTTTTAACACAAAGCAGGCCTGTTGTGAGAAGAAGAGTTGTTTAATACAGAATTAGCTGTCTGATTAGTTGTCAGCAAAACCCCTGCTCAAACCCTATGTTCAATAACACAGCTGGTTCTTTTGCTAGATTAGAAGTACATCACAACATCTATCTCAAGACACCACAGGATAACTCTTTGAATAACTGAATTTCTAAATCCTCCTTTGACATTATGCATGAGAAAGAATCAGAGTTGCCCTTTGTTTCTGAAGTCCTCCAGCTCACAGACTGAAATGCCCCACAGCCGTTCTTCAAAAATATAAAGTTATCTGGTACACACTCCCAGCAGCAGCAGACAGTGCTCAAAGCACAACTTGGAGCAGATTTAACATTCACACTCACCAACACCTCAGCCTCGCCCTTTCTATTGCAGATTCCAACTGCAAATGTTAACTTAAAGGAAGGGCATCGTGAGGTGAGGTTAACACAGCTTAGCTATTCCTCCTGGCAGCTGCTGACATGACCGGGGTCAGGAAGAGCCAGTTTCAAGCACTTTAGGAAAGTAACTTTGCTGTGCAAAGGTCCTTTTCAACATTATGTTGAAATCAACAGGAGAACCAATCCTACTGGCTAACGGGAATTCAACGCGTGGCTAAAGCCAAAGCTGTACAAAGATTACCTGGGTGCAATCAGACTTCATGAAACACAGCGAGCAGACGCTATAGGTTATGGGGAAGTGAGTCATGCTGGGCAACTCCAGGTGGACCTTGTACATAAAAGCTGTGCGTCATTCTGCTCGATGTTTGTCAGGTTCTTCTCAACACGTGTCACCATCTCTCTCAACATCGGTGTTACATCCAAACCCGCTCCACTATGCTAGAGAACTGGTTTTGTCGCTAGCTTGCAACTGTGTCTCAGAAGCAAGCAAAGCATTGCGGCTTCAAAGATAGAAGAAAAAGGATGTGAAACGGTGCCCAGTCTGCCATCTCAGGAAGGCTGTCAAGGGCAAAACCACCCACAGTACAGCTGCATGTCGACCACTAGAGCTGCATGGGCTTTATTAGTCCCAGTGCCACAGAGGAGATGACCAGACTACAGCACACAAAATAGGTTGCGCCCTTCAGACCTGGATCACAGTGTCAGACAACCACTACGTTGCTAGTTCCTCTGTATCAGAGTAGCAATTAAGACATCAACTTGATTTGTTATTATTGTAAAAGCCAGGCCATGTGTGAAATCATACAGACGTCACATACCTCACCAGTCCTCTGTATGTGACCAGTGACTGCGAGGCACTGCCTGCAAGCAGACTATGGCTCTCATTGCCCACCAGTATGACAGCTGAGCTGAACTAGGGACAAGGCCTCTACACGCTTGCTTTAATTTCTCCAAGTTTTTCTTTCTTCTTGCTACTACCTCAGACTGAAAAGCAAGTGCTCCTTTTCTATAGGATTTTAAAAGTTCTGATGGGAGGAAGTAACCTCCTTGCTTTGGGAACTCAACCGATGAAGTTTTTTCAATGCAGCACCAGTTATCTACAGGCAATGTAGTTTGTGCTGTCTACCTCATTCACCAGAAGCAGCTTACTCCAGACGATACTGACATAAAGGACATTGAAAAGAAAATTCAAAGAGATCATTTCTAGAATGATAATTTATAAACCTCTCCAGCAGGCCACTGCAAGGACATTCTAAGTTTACCATCTCACACACTGATCTTAGGTAGCTGAACACTGAGTTACCATAACACTATCAATTTGCTCCAGGGACATTAGCAACAACGTGTAGGAATCCCGCAGAACCAAAGATGTGAATGTTTACCATCCAGGGAGTTTTGCAGTAGTGTATCAATCTGGAGCTGCATCAAGCCTTGGATGTGTCCTCAGTGTCAAACTACCTCGTAAGTATCTCGCTTTTGTTGGCAATCCTGTAGTAAAAACCTAGTGCAGACCAGGCACCTGGTGCTGGTTTTGGCTGGAATAGAGTTAATTTTCTTCACAGTAGCCAGTATGGGGCTGTGTTTTAGATCTGTGCTGGAAGCAGCATTGATAACCCAGGGATGTTTTCGTTACTGCTGAGCAGGGCTTACACAGAGCCAAGGTCTCTTTCTGCGCCTCACCCCACCCACCAGCGAGGAGGCTGGGGGTGCACAATAAACTGGGAGGGGGCACAGCTGGCACAGCTGACCCCAACTGACCAAAGGGATATCCCACACCACATGACATCATGGTCAGCATATGAAGCTGGGGGAAGAAGGAAGAGGGGGCATTCGGAGTGAACCCCTGCCTGCCCATGGGAAGGAGGGAATGAATTCCTTGTTTTGCTTTGCTGGTGTGCACAGCTTTTCTTTAACCTTGTAAACTGTCTTTATCTCAACCCACGAGTTTTCTCATTTTTACTCTTCAGTCTCTCCCCCATGCCACCAAGGGGCGGGGGGGGCAAGTGAGCAAGCAGCTGTGTGGGGCTTAGTTGCCAGCTGGGGTTAAACAACACACTTACAAGCTCTCTTGTATAAATCTTGACCTCCTGAGCCCCATTCCCTCCTTCTTGGTTCTGCTTAACCCTCTGAAGAGAAGATCATGGCTACAAGTGCCTAAAATTTAAGGAACTTTAGCATCAGCAGCCACTGAAGCAACCTGAAGTGAGCTCATCCCTTCCTGTCTATATGTTCATTTTTCACTTACTAGTGCTGGGGCAATAGGGTAACATTATCAAAAGCAGCCAGCCTGAGGAACACAGTGTAACAGAGCCCAGGATGAAGGCAGAGGACCTTAAGAGTGATGACAGAAGGGTATGGTGGGACAGGGAAACAACCACAACAACAAAAAAAAACCCAACACAAAGATGCAGAAACAGAGAAGTGACAAGACAAAACTGATGACAGAAAGAACTGGCACAAAGAGACAGATGAAAAGGTGGAAAGGCTTGAAGGGACAGCACAGAGATGACCAAGACAGTCCACCTGGCATGTCACCACTTAAACCTGAATGACCACTTAGCTGTGCTGCCAGACAACCAGGAGAATGCAAAGAAGCGTGACTTGGTGCAGTCAAGCAATACCAAAGGGACAGCCTCATCAACGGATGAGAAGAAAAAAATTGCTACCAACAGTGACTCATGGGGAGCTGCTGGGAAGTTGGAGTGGTTTTTAATTATTGATTCCATGTTCCTTCTATTGGTGTTTTCCCTGAAGTTTATATCTACAATCCTTTTCTTCTGAAACAGCTCAGACTGGTCAGACTGGAAGCATCCTACCACTAGTGGCACCTGAAGAGCTTTCTCAGTGGTAACTCAAGCCAATTTAACTATTTGCCAAGCAGAACTCGTCTCTTGTGGCTATATCCCTCATTTTGGGGTGCAAGTATGTCTAGATTCCAGACCATGTGAATTCTCCAAAGTAACTCCCACCTCAGATTCAGGTAAGTGAGAAATAATTACGAGTCAGAGGAAACCAAAATGCCTCAAGTTATCAACTGTAATCAAATCCACATAACTATGATTTTCAGAGAAGAGACACCTGATCTTGCACCTTTTGTTCTGCCGGCTAATGCACATCATGTAGTACACAGAACTGCGGATGCATCCTTTCACTCTGAAAACTACAAAAAGAAAAAAACTTCAAAAAGAAAAGATCATTTTCCCCTCCCTATATACATTCATGAAGTACTTCTGATTTTACACTGAGAAACAGTGAAAAGCAGTTTGATTCCAGTGATTGATTTCTAACGCATCACAGGTATTCCAGATCTAGACAGTGGTTTAAGTTTTCACTATTACTGCTTGTTTCAATGCAAGTGAAGCTGTAAACAACATCAGGATTCTGCATATAGCCACATACAACAAAAACAGAAGTAGACAGTGCCTATTGCTGAGATAAACCAAAAGATGCTCATATCAAAGCTTTCCACCTGTGTAAGTATTCAATCATTGCCACACAACCAAGATCTTACGTAGACTGACAGTAAAAAGCTGACCACAGAAGTTTACTACAGCACAGAACAGATTCCATTTTCATTTACTGCAGTCTCCAAATAGATGACATCACCCCAAAATCTGCAGCAAATGCTTCTGCTTTGTACCTCTAACAGTTCTGCAAACAATGAGCACAGTCAGCTGCATGGAGGTACTCCCCTTTCATTAAGCACCATCCTGTTGAGCCACTGGTAACAGCTCTTTGGATAAGTTCCTGTAAAACCAGATTTGACATGTTGCAACTATATGCCCTGCAGGGGGAAAAAAAAAAAAGGAAAAAAACCGAAAAAGCATCACTTTCACTAGTCTTAACAGAAAAACCAGTTTTAAGTATATCTACAGTAATTCCTTTTAAGTGCTACTACAATCTAGGAGATAAGGTACATTAAGATTCTTGGTCTATTTTAAGATCAACAAATACAAACCAGACCCTCCATAAGCAAATACAGGTATGAAATTTCCATTCAATTTTCAATGGCCACAAATCTAATGACGTGTCTTCATCTCCTGGGATATAAGTACAAGTGGTCACCCTATGTTTAATTGAATGCAGAGTAGGGATGACACTGACAAGAGGAGGTGGAGGGAGGAAGGGATGAGGTATCTCTCCTGCATACATATCCTATGGATCAACAGTCCAAGCAACTGTGATGAGAGATCTAGATTTTGAAGGACAGCCTATAACAACAAACTAATTCAGTTTGTTATTTCCACTGCATTGATTGAGGGACAGGAACCAACAAAATGGCACTTTTAAAAACATCTCCAGAATACCTGAGTAGGAAGGACAGGGGAAAAGAGCCCCTGAAGAGTAGGTCTGTGTGCAGGTCACATTATTGGATGATGAGACAACACACTCTAGTAATGGCAATAATAGCCATTACAGGGTTTTACATGCAGATGTTGGATAGCATCTTCCTAGCAGCGACAAACATTAGGAGAAATTGATCCTTCAAATTGTGCCATTGCTTAATGTGACATAGGGGGCAATTAGACCTTCTGCTTCAGTACGCATCAATCAATGGGAGGTTAAAATGGAGCACAGCTCTCCCACACGCTCTCAGAGAAAGCACAGCATCTCTCACTCTGTTGTTCCACATGGATTCGCTGCATTAATATTAGACACCCGTAGCTACGCAGCTATCCTCCTGTCATGTTCCACTTCATTCATTAAAGGCACTGCACATGTTGAAAGCACATACTGTTTGGGCTGGTTACGGATTTAAGGCCCTTAACTGGTAACAGACAGCTCTATTCCTCCTTTAAGATCCTGACTCTGTATTTGGGATACAAGGTAATTTGCCATACATTTCATCCAGAAATCAGGGAAAACCCTATAATGGCTGAGGAAATGCAGTACACTAATGCACCAGTTTTTCAATCACTTAATCACTTACCAGCCATACAAGTTTCCAATGAAGCTTATACACAAAACATGCCTCCAGAACTACAAGTTTCACAGGCAAAAGGCATAAGAAAACTGAAAATTACTTATGGACAGCCCTATAGTCAAGGCAGACCAGTGCAAGCTATTCCTCTGGCCAGAGACTGATGTGCCAAACAGGAGTATAGAAGATGCATCTATGCCAAATTCACGTTTAACTGTTGCAGCAAATGGATGACCTTTCTAAAATGGACTCTTTCCAGAAAAAAAAAAAAAAAAAAAAAAAAAAAGGCCTGTCACACAAGAAAAACATCTGCAACTAACATCTAAGGCTGGCCTGAGTTCCAAACTCAGCAAACAAGGGGACAGGGGACAACCCAGGTTTTGACAACTCTGAGAGCAGATGTGGATTTTAGAGCTTAGTTCCTTCTAGCGATTGTTACCTAAGTTATTAAAAAGACCATCTAAACAGAAAAGCAGAGAAAAGAAATAGATGGGTTTATACCTTGTTTTGCTTCTCAACATCAGCTTCACTAATCTAGAAGCTATAACATCACCAAGAAAAGGGCAGTAAACTAGAAATAGAAGGGTCGTCTTGCCCTCCTTGAGATACAACAGAAGCAAGACTGGCCTTTGCATGATAAATCATAGCAGAAAATATAAATACGGTGTGCAACTCCTACACTCTAGGAAAAAAGCGAGAAAAGATGATCCAGCACTTGTACCACCAATGAGGGTACAATAACTTCACAATGCAGTAATGAAAAAATTCCCAAATTTGATGAGCAGAGCAACAGCTTTTAACTACTATTTTCCTGTATCTAAAGTTTGGATAGCAACTACTTCTCACTTCAGAGAGCTTAAAATAGATGGAAAGCATCCAGTATCTATTAACAAATTTAGATATTTCAGCTTAATTAGCACAAGACTTCACACTACTACAAACGAGTTAAATCTTT